TCAATATATATAAATCATAAATTTATGAGAGAATTCGCTAAAAGGAAGTAAAAACGTTTTGAAATTCCAAAATAGCATTATCATGTTTTTTATTCTCTAAATAGGAATACATTTTTGCCAAGTTTGGTATTACTAGGCTTTAATCATGACATTTTTTTCAAACTTGGCAGATTACTCTTATTTAGAGAATAAAAAACATGGTTGTCCTATTATGGAATTTCTAAACGTTTTTACTCCTATTTAGGGCATTTCTATAAATTTATTTACTTTTTTGAAGCCAAGAATCGATGATAAACCTATTGGACCATGTTCTTTGGTGCTCAGGGCTTTAAATGAATTTCGCATATTAATGCTTCAGTACTCCATTGGTCTCGCTTTTTTGTGTGTGCAAGAAATAGGCTTAAATTGATAATCCAACATTCATATAATGGGTATTCCGACAAAAAGATTCCAGACAACCGTCATTCCGCGAACCAGGCTCGAAATTAATCACCTCCAAAGAAGCAACATAATTCGATGATCCATTAATGGACACAAATGAGCCAAAGACAGTTATCGCAATCCTCTTATCACTCACATCCAAATCAATCGTCTTACAAAAGGAATAGCAACAACTAAAAAAACCACACAACAAAATAAATTGTCACTACGGAAAAATAAAAAACAAATAAACTTGAAACTCTGTACGAGCTTGCCAATCCGCACGAGCACCCGAACGTTCTTCACCCCTTCATGTTGAATCAGCTGCGGCGGGCTTACTGATCGAAGTCCGCCCCTTCCCCGTTTTTAGTCCTATCTAGAGCCATGCCATCTTCCCCAATCTTGTTTCCGCCCTGATTTTCCTTGATCTTTCTTCTCTTTTGCTCCCCCAAAGTTTCCTCCTTTTTTTCCGCTCCCACTCCTTTAGTTATACTTTGTGTTGATTTAGATACAGATTCTTTCCCCCCTTCACCCTTCCTGCCAGAGCTTGATGAACCCTCCAGTATCCACCTACCACCTCCTGTTGGGCTAGTCTTCACCTCGCTCCCTGCCCTAAGATAGACCCCAAAGTTCTTCTCTAATACTAGATCTTCTTCATAGTTCACAGGACAAAACTCATCTGAATGCCCAATTAAGCCATATATGAAACAGAAATTGGGCAACCTCTCATACTTGAAGTCCACCCAAAATCTTTTTCCTTCTTTAATTTTTTCAGATTTGTAACATTTTCCAAAGATTTATCAACGTTCATGCACACCATGATTCTCATATATGACTTCCACTGCTCACTGTTCTGATTATCGTCATATTTTATAAACTTTTCAATACAATTACCAACTCCCCTTGCAGTGCAGTACCTAAATTAACTAGGCTATAGGGAACATTATGAACTTGAACAAAAAAATCAGCCTCATTTAAAACAATCTTATGTGTAATATCATCAGGTTTAACTTCTTTTAACAGTAACAGATTACACTCAAACTGCCAAGGACCTCCTTCAAGCACACGATTCATATCAAATCGATGATAGAAAGTAAATAGGTACCTTTTCTCGCCAACTTCTTTGATCGTCATTCCTCTCCCCCGTCTCCATAACGAGGACAAAAGCTCTTTGAGGGTTGGAAATTTGACCTTCCCGTCAGTCAACCGTACGCCTATTACCGGAAACCCGGACTACTTTCCTCCACCGGAACGTCATCCGTGTCAAAATCATCAAGATCCAGATCTTTCTCCGTCCCAATCGCCGTGTTTTTGTATTTGTCAACAAAGCTATTGGTCTCGTTATTAATTTCTCGTTATTTTATAATTTCACAGCCCAAATAATCCATTGGTCTCGTTATTAATTTCTCTTTTGATTATACAAGTTGGTTAAGAAAGCAAAAATCGCAAATTTTGAAAATTTCTAAAATGAGAAATGCATAATAACACAATTACTGGAGTATATTTTATTTGAAGAGGACGAATAAAAGCCTGGAAATAATAATGGAAATGTCACTTTCATATTTATCTACACTCTTTTTTCCAACTATAGTTCAGATATGTTGTTTGCTTCACTGGTCGATCCCATTAAGTACATGGTGATAAGATTGTAAGCTGACCAGTCAAAAGGCATTTAAAGCTTTTCTAAAAGAGAGAGATTCCCTCGCACACAGCTATTACTCGTATATGATCGAGTTTATAGTTTGACCGAAGTGTACACATATATCATGTTTTAAAAGGGAAACATATGTTTCTTTTTTAAACATTTTTTTGCACGCTGTGCCTATTTTATATGTATAAATTCGTTTTAAAAAGACGTACACAACTATCTTGGTAGCTAGGAATCCTAAGATGGAGAGGGGGCTGAATAATCCAGAGGTGGGCTAGGGGGTTGAGGGGCCTGGGAGGGTCAGCAGTGGCGGGTCATCACTAGCTTGGCGGCAGTTGTTGGCGTCGCTAACGGAGGGCGGTCACTAGCGGTACGGACGTACGGTGTAGTTGTCACTGAGCAACGGGTCACCGTGGCAATCATTGGGACAGTTGGTCATTTTAGTTCGCGATGGTCATGACTAAGTTAAAGCATTGCCCACTCCGGGACAGGGTCACTGTGACGTTGATCATTGTAGCGATAGTAATTGTTGCGTTGGATGAAGTGAGACAACATTAGTAATAGTCTTCTTAATTAGTCTTTCTATAGTCTCTTTGTCCTATTGTTTTTGTTAAACCCTTAAATAATAATCGGTATAATGATTCGTAAACTTGATTTTTGTTATGGATTAATGATCGTAATCCTTTTTCAAAGCGTAAGACAAGGCACACGTCTTGTTAGGGTCTGTTTGCAACAGCTTCTGCTTTTAAAAAAGTGCTTTTTTAAATGAAATGAGGAGAAGTGATTAAATAAAAGTTAATAATGTTTGAGAAAAAAGCGATTTTGAAAAGTAAAAGTGGGTAGTGTTTGCTAAAATAAGTGTTTTTTGTGTAATAGAAAAAGTAAAAGCACTTTTGACGCGGAAGCCGAGAAAAATAAAAGTTGTAGTGTTTGGGAAAATAAGTGCTTTTTTAAAGCCAAAAGATGAGAAGTGTTTTTTTAAAAGGAGTTGCAAACCAACCCTTAAATACTTATGCCTCGAATTAAATAAGCTCATTTATACCACTATACATTCATAGGTCGCCAAATTTAGAGAGTTGCAATAAGCCAAATATTGTGTCCGTTCGATAACATCATTCAATTTGCTGAACTTGCTTAAATTAGTTTAATTGAAACTACTAAAATGACTGAATCTACTCAATTAAGAGAAAATTATATCTACAATATATATTATTATTCAAATATGGGAAAACTATATGAAAAATAGCTAAATCAATTATTTTCAAACAATTGAGTCACTTGAAAAAGTAGCTTGAAGTTTACTTATTGATTACGTACGCGTATTACACAATTCAGCATTTATAATTAAAAGTAACGTGTTTGGTAAAAATGTTGACTGAGGCTTATGAGTCAAAAATAGATGTCACCAAATGGATCTAATTTTTACTTCCATTATCCTTAATAATTGAAATAATTGTTTATTTATGACTAAAATAAACATTGCTTCTAAAAATGTGACCTCTTAATCGTAGTGACTAGTGCAGTAACTTTAATCATAGTAACTTATACGGAGTATTCAATTTTTTACACTTAAGCAATCATGACATTATATTGTAGAAGCTTTATATCATATTTTTGCAAATAAACGTTGTTTCAAGTAGGGGTGGACTAGGCCTTGTCCGGGGCGGGCTCCGGGTCCAAAATTATCAGGCCCGGTAGGGGCCCGGGCTCGTACCAGAACCGGGTCGGGCCGGGCTACCTAGGCGGCTTTGGGACGGGACTGGGTCAGGTCGGGCCAAACAATTCCAAGCCCAAATTTTGTTTTTTTTTTGGAATTCTTGACCTTTAGGCTCGGGCTCGGCCCGGTCGGTCCACTAAAATCATAGCCCGGTACCGCTTGCTTTTTCATTTGGGTTGGGCCTCGGGCTTGGTCCCGGTCCCGATCAATCGGACAGGGCTTGCACATTAGCGGGCCGGACCCACCCGTCCCAGTCCACCCCTAGTTGCAAGTAGTATTTTTGAAAAATTTCTTAATAATTTCCATATTTTTTTTAATTTTTCGTAGCCTATAACTAACCGCATTTATCTATTTAAATATTTTGGACAAAAAATCATGTGTGTTCTATATTGTTTTGCTCTTGTTTTGTATAACTTTTAATTACACATTATTTTTATTTTCTTAACACGAAGTGTAGTCAAGAGATAACTATGAGTCTGTCTATGACGCAAAGGTAATATACTACGTAGTAATACGTAGTACTTCGTATTAGTTTATAAGTCACTAAGTTTCTTACTTCACCATCTTCATCTTTCTTTTATTTTTTTCTTACTATAGTTCCGGATCTTCTCTGAGCTAGGTTTCCTAAGGTACACAAAATTTTCCGAAGCAAGAATATATAAATTTTATATTATTACATGTTTAATGTCACAAAGGTTAAATGGACGAGTTATCATGCATTTTGAATAAAAGTTGATGAAGTCCATTGCGCTAACATTATACTATACAATTGTTTTAGCACGAGGATATTCCAATTTTGACGGACTAATATTAGATTTTAAGGTAACTCCAACGAAGTCATCAATTTTTTGTTAAAAAGTAATGACAGTTTTAAAATTGTTTGGGGTAGACGGCCAGCGAATCAGGTAGTTCATTGTATCGCTAGAGCTGTTGTTTCTATGTTTGGTAGTGAAATTAGTTTCTCTTCTCCTCCTAACTTCATTGTAAGTCATTTGACGAATGATCTTTTAATATAGTGAAGTGTTTTTTTCTTCAAAAAAAATATCACATTTTAAAAATCCACACATTCCAATATTCCATGGATCCTTTACAAATAAACATTTTGAGAAAAGTAAATTAGAGTCATCCGGACAACAACATAGAGTCTTATACTCTTAGCTTATTACTCCGTATCATATATCTATACATCACCCCGCACAAGGAAACATCCGCCAAAGTATGAAGTATTTTGTAATATTAAATCGTCATTAAGTGAGGGTTACAAATATGAAAAGTATGATATTTAATGCGTTTAAGAATTACAAACACAAAATAAAACGTACTCCGTAATTGAATTCTAGGCTTCTAGTCGACCCATAAAAGAAAAGGGAAAAATAAATAAAATATCCCAAACTTTGAAGGGGTGTGAGGTAAGCACCCCAAACTTGTATATGTAATTTAAGTACCCTAAACTTTATATAAAGAGTTATTTTAGCACCATGATCATGCATTATTTCTTTCAAAAATGTTAATTTTTTGTGTTAATTTCATAATTTAAAATATTTTAGTATTCATGAAGATACAATTAACAGTCTAGACTTCCATTGTAAAATAAATAATACTACCCCAACTCTATATAGTTGGAGCATTTTTAATTTTTTTTTTTTCTGAATTATGCAATTAACAACATCAATTTCCATTTTTGAAAAAAGTAATATATGAACATGGTGCTAAAATAACTTTTTATATAAAATTTAGGGTATTTAAATTACATATGAAAGTTTGGGATATTTATCTCACACCACTTCAAAGTTTGGGGTATTTTAATTATTTTTCCCAAAAAAAAATTAGAAAGAACTTTGACTACAACACCTTTTCAAACTATCATTATTATATTAAAGGACAGTCTTAAATGACTTTCCAACCACACTAACATAAATGGCAAAACTGCTGCTAGTTTTTTAGGATATCAAACATGACATTTCTGCTAATTATGGTAACAATAGAAAATTAAGGAAATAAAATAAACTCCAAGAATTAGAAAATTGTGATTTTGACTAGCTAGCTAGATCGTTACGAGGAGTCGAACTTATAGTGTTTATCGACGGCGACGGACACGTCCCAAGTACAGCTGAGTCCCTTCGGTATAGTGACCAAGTCGCCGGCGCCGAACTCCACTGTCTCCGGCGAAGTTGCGTTCTTTGGGTAAACCTTAACTTTTCCCCTTAACAGATAACACGTCTCCTCGGCTTCAAACTTCAGTTGGTACTTTCCTGGTGAACAACCCCATCTGTTTTTTTTTTCAAAAAAAAAAAGAACCATAAAAATGAATAAATTAAATTCTCAGGAACAGAGTAAAGTAAGAGAAAAACTACAAAAGAAGGAGAATTGAAGAAAATGGGATATATACTTGGGCCAAGATTTGATTCCCAGCTCGGAGAGATGGGCCTCCGATGGGTTTTTCAGGACAGTGATACATAGATGTGAGGATGAGGTGGACTCGTCGGCCATGGAAGCTTGATGGGTCTTTTGTACTTGGTGATAGAGAAAGAAGAAGAAGAAAGGTAGATAGAAGCTTTGACCAGAAAATTAGTGGGGGAAAAGAAACTGAAAGTCCATTACATTTATCAGCTACTACCTCCGTCCCATTCATATTGGGATGGAAGAGGATGACACGATTATTAAGAAAAGTGTGTTTGTGTAGTTGATATTAATTGATAAAGTAAGAATAAAATAAGAATGATTTAAAGTCACACAAACTTTGACAAATATGATATGAGAAAATTTAAGTGGGACTTCCGAAATGGTAAAACGGGACAATATAAATGGAACGGAGGGAGTACATACCAGGAGGCTGACTGCATTTTAAATGCCCATTTAAACACATACTCTCTATATACGTAGTACTTTGTATAATAATACTCCTTTAATTTCGTTCCCAAAAAGTTCACCAAATGGACTTTTTATGGTTAACCACAATCAACTTTAATGATATTTTTCATAGGAAAGATATTTTGAATATGAGATTATATAAAATGTTCCTCATTCAAAATATTTTCATAAAAGTATAAAATATACACTGTATAAATTATATTATGCATAGTATACAAATATAATACGAGCAATAAAATTAAAATCATTGTTCATTGATAAAAAAAAAGTCAATATGATCAATTTTTCATGACGGAGGTACTAGTGTCTAGTAGTATTCCAAAAACTTTACTACTTTTTAAGTTAATAATTTTTTTTGTTTGTTTAAGAGTAAATTTTTTGACTAAGAGCAAAACATTAGAAAAATGCAAAACTAGGATCTAGATGTTTCTTAAGAGCAAAAGACAAGAAGTTGTCATGGTTAGGCCATCTCCAACAGTTAACACCATTTTTTACACTAAAATGGTGTAAACATCATATCAAACAGTATTTTATCTCCAACAGTTTACACCATTTTCATCACCAAAAAGGAATATTCTCTTTTTATTCTTTTTACTAACTTTTTACCATTCTTCTATTTAAGTATCTAACTATCATATATTTATACATTAGCCCCTCATTTAATATTTTGACATTTAACACATTATTTCACACATACAAACTAAAATACATCATTTTAATATGTATTTTCACGCATTTCACTAATTAAAATACAATAATCAATATTTCACAATTAAAAGCTAAAACCACATAAAATTAAATATTACAATAATATTATAATAATTTGTACGTCATTAATAAAGTGCTATTAATGATAACCTAATGGTGTGATTGTTGGAGATGATTTTTGGAAAATACACCAAAATGGTGTGTGATTTGGTGGTCTCTTGGAGATGGCCTTACCCCTTAATGATAACCTCATTTCTTCAAGGGAAAGGGGTCACACAAGTCCTTTTACTACTTAGAATAGATCACATAGATCAATCTGCTCAAAAAAGAGTTACATTAATCCCCCCACTAATTGTAAAAAGCGATCATTTGATTCGCATGACCGATATAGCAGGTAAAAATCACACGTGCCTATTTCAATTTTATGTCTTTTCTTTGCGGGAAATCGCATAAATGATCTCTCAGATATCCACGAAATTAAAATCTCAGATCTATATTTCTGATATTGTAAATATCATCTCTCAATTGTCCAAATTGTTATAAATTTGGTTCTTCAAGTAATGAAATGTACTATCACCCACATTTTATATTTCACCCCTCAAAAGGACCACATTTACAACATCTTGGACAATTGAGAGAGTGATATTTACAATCTTAGAAATACAGGTTTGAGATTTTAATTTCATGGATAACTGATGGACTATATATGCGATTTTCCCTTTCTTTGCACTTTTTTCTTTTTCTTCTTTCTTTTCTTAGTTTCTTTATGCCATGGCTTTCTGCAACGGCGTATTCTATTACACTACAAAAAAAACACGCGCGTAGTCACGGACTTAGTCGCGGACAGCAGTTCAAATTTTCCGTGACTAACAGAGGTAGTCACGGTCGCTAGCCGTGACTAATTCCGTGACTTAATGGGCGTGACTGAATACAGTCATTGCCACATTAACCGTGACTAAACTTAGTCACGGTCGCCTGCCGTGACTAAAATTAGGCCGGAAAACTTCTCCGACGTAGTAGTCACGGTATAGAGCCGTGACTATTGTTTTTTTTATATATACTAGTCACGGATATAGCCGTGACTAAAATAATCCGGTTTTTTAAAATTCCGCCATCTTAGTCACGGACTTAGCCGTGACTAATTTTTCAAATTTTCAAAATTTTTGAAAGACCGCGGTTTTCTATCATTGAAATTTTGAAGTAGTCACAAACATTTATCCGTGACTATTTTTTTTTAAAACAAAAAAATTAATTTCGGACTAATCTTAGTCACGGATTAGGACCGTGACTAAGTTTTTTGTTTTTTGTTTTTAAAAAAGTTTTTCCGTTTTTTTAAAAATAAATGTTTTTTCGGATTATATTTTCAAAAAAATTAAAAATTATATTTTAAATTTTCTTTAAAGAAAATATGGTATTAGATTTCCTTTAAAATCTAATTTTTTAAAGGAAAAAGACAATTTAAACAGTAAAGCAATAACAACATTAAAAAAACACATACAACAAACTTAATAAAAATTATGACAAACTTATAAATGTAATATGAAATGTTAAACTTATAAATGTATGATTACATGCCCGTTCATCGTCGGACTCCATTGTGATAAAAATTTGGATTTTCTTCTTCTTCATCATCATCATCAACAAGAAAATCTTCTGGGTCCATGGGGGGGGGGTCTTCGGGCTGCTGCACGGGGGCGTCAGGTTGGGTTCCTCCCCGGGTTCCTCCTCGGCTACCTCCTCCACTGCCTCCTCGGGGTCCTCCTCGGGGTTGGCTTGCTGTACCACTGCCTCCTCCGGATGACCTCAAAAAATCAAAGGACATAGATCCGAAATTCGGACCCATATTAGGCGTGCCACCGTATCCGGAGTTAGAGAAAAACCCCATACCGCCCATGTGCGGAACTTGAGGAGTTTGCTCAGGGTGCAATACGTACGGGGGAGGAAAAGGCTAGTGCGGAGGCTGGAATCCGGCACGCATGAACCGTTCCATTTCCTCCAGCCGGACTTTTGTTTCTTCCTCTTTTTTCCGCTGCTCCTCCCATCACCGTTCGTGCTCCTCCAGTTCACGCTGCATTTGGGCAATACGAGGATCTTCTCCCCGCCTTGATCGAGAAGAGGAAGCGTCGGTGCTTCGATCATACAAAATCCGTTGTTCCTCGGCCCCCAGGCACGGAACCCGACCCTTGTAAACCCTGGCCGCCTCAATGGCCGCCTCATCATCCGCATCAGAATCGAGCTCGTCCTCCTGGGTCAAGCCTCGCTCCGCACGCTGCCTGTCAACGGTTTCGTTGTACTTCGTCTGCATTTAAAAAAATATTTTTAAATGTTGCATACTTAGATTTGAAATGTTACTAAATAACAAAATATGATGTTACATACTTCGAAGTCAGCGAGGCGGGGGTGGCAGATCGGCTTCCGACTCCTCGCCGTGCTTCGTCCAGCAATGCTTGACGAGCTTGAGAATTCCAACCCTCTTCTTCTCAGGACCAGCCTACATGGTGTGAAAAAGGCTTAAGTAAATTTTTTATAATGAAGAGTTGTAATGGTGTAAGGTTTTTTGAATAGCACTTACAAGAGTTTCTTTATGGGCACTCTGAGATTTGCGACCCTCGTGCCACTGCGTCTCCAAGGCCTTCTCGGAAGAGCATGCACTTTAATAATGGAACATACTTATAATAACATGCATTTTTGGAATAAAAATCAAATACTAAAAATAAGAATGAAAAGTCATTAAAATTTAGAACACATAACCTTGATGAAGAGGACGGCGAAGATCGACGGAGGTAGCTAACGGGGAGCGGCGGCGGCGGACGGTGGCGACGGATGGTGGAAGGCGGCGGTGGAGATCGAAGGGATTGCCGGACAGAGAGAAGAAGTAAAGGGAGAAGGAGAGATTTAAGGTTGGGAGATTGGAATGAAAAAATCGCTAAGTGTTATTTTTATATAAGGGCTTAGTCACGGTCATAGTCACGGTCAGGGCCGTGACTAAACCCTTCGTAAATGTCAAAGGCAGACCTGACGGTCAGAGCCGCCGATGACCGGAATAGTCACGGTCAGGTCCGTGACTATGACCGTGACTATTTCAAAATTTGAAAATTGTCACGGTCATAGTCACGACCAGACCGTGACTATTCTGGTCAGCGGCGGCTCTGACCGTCAGGCCTGCCGCGGCCTGACTTCGGCATTTACGAAGGGTTTAGTCATGGCCCTGACCGTGACTATGACCGTGACTTTTTAATTTAAAAATAGATGTCCTGCGGCCCAAGCATTTTGTGCAAAAAAAATGACTAATACAGAACCAAATTCGTGTAAGTTGTTTATTAAAATGTCAAATTATTATAATATTCCGATTATGAAAAGTAAATTAGTTTTATTTATGAATTTCTGTTTTTTTTAATTTTGTATTTTCGAAGTATTTAAATTATTTTTCAATTTTCAAATTTATAATATGGAATATTGTGGAAATAGTTAAATTTGTAGTGTGGACTGTGGAGTATTAAATAAACTGCTTTCAATTTATTTGGTAAGAACAGATTAAGGAGTAATTATTTCACAAACAATAATGATGAAGGAAAAAATCAAATATGCTTGGAGTAATTATTTCACAAAATTGAAATTACAACAGCACAATTAGTCGCTCTCAGAATCTTCATTTTTTACATATACAGTATCTTCTTCTGTATCTGAACTGTCTATCCATTCACCTTCTTGCTGATATTGAGTGTTTTGTTGTGCTTCATACATTTCAACAATTTCGCGCTCAGATGGAATGGTTAGGTCCGGAAGGTGTGTTTCTGGCATGACTTCAACACGTCCGCCAATTGTATCACTTAATTGGTTGTTATAGTTGACCGTCTCAACAATAAGCGGAGGTTGGAAAAATTGTTGCTGAAAAGCATCTAGATCAATGTCCTTGTGTTGAGTTTGTGATATAATTTTGTTCGGACGGACAGTACATGCACACACCCAAGGATTCCGTGTCCGCCTTGTCGAAGGATATTCTGCATAATAAATCTGTGCTGCTTGTTGGGCGAGTATGAAAGGCTCGTTTTTCTCATACACACGAGAGTGGTTG